GGACCAGAAAAACAAAAGCAAAAACAAACAAGCAAGCAAACAAAAAACAGTGTGCTTTAGACAGAATGGGATCATTGTATTCATGAACACAGCAGCTGCCAAGATTAATCAATATTCCAACATAGAGGCTCCCAAGTCCCACTCCCAGCTGAGGAACTATATTGTCACTGGGTGACTTCTGGAGGAGAGGCCAGTTATCCTTTCTTTTCTTTCCTTTCCTTTTCTTTTTCTTCTTCTTCTTCTTTTTGTTTGTTTTGTTTTGTTTTTGTATGTGTGTAACCTTGGAGCCTGTCCTTGAACGCACTCTGTAGACCAGGCTGGCCTCTAACTCACAGAGATCCGCCAGCCTCTTCTGGGATTAAAGGCATGTGCACCACCGCCACTCAGCAAGGTCAGTTTTCTCTAAGAGTGTGGCCCCATGATAGGTCAACCATGCTCTAGTGGTTGGCCCCACCTTATGACTACATGGATAACACACTTTAGACCCAGTGGGTTTAAAAAAGGGGGGGATAGGAAGGAATGGAGAGTGGAGGGGGAGTGGAGAGTGGAGGGGTGGGGAGTAGATCTAGGAGGAGCTGGGGGAGAATATGATCAAATCTATTGTATGCTCACATGACGTTCACAAGGAATTAATGAAAATATATTCAGAAGAACACAATTTTTGTAGAGTCCCACAAGCAAAGCAATGACAGTGGAGTTCCTGGCTGGCTGCCCTTCTGTTCCCATTGCCGCTCAGTCATCTCTGATGACTCCTTGTGAACCCTCGCGTGGAAAGCACTAGGAAAAAGCCGGGTGCTGTTGTACACTCCTGTAATCCCAGCACCCAGAAGGCAGAACCAAGAGGCAGGTGGATCTCTGAGTTCCAGGACAGCCAGGGTTACACAGAGAAATCCTGTCACCACCATCACCGCAGCCATCATCACCACAGCCACCAGCACAGCAAATCAGTAAGGATGCTTTAAAACAAGGTTTATTTTTACGTCTGTGCGTTTTGCCTAGTTTTGCCCTTAGAGGGGAGAAGAGAGCACCAAATCTTCTGGGACTGGACTTACAGATGTTTTTGAATCTCCATGTTGATGATCACCCACCATCTCCCCCTGCCACCCGTCCTCTCTAAGAGCAGCCAGTACTATTAACCGCAGAGCCAGCTCTGTAGGTCCTGCACATACTTTTTTTTTTAAATTTATTTATTAACTATGTAATGTATACAGAATTCTGTTTGCATGTGTCCCTACAGGCCGGAAGAGGGCACCAGATCTTATTACAGATGGTTGTGAGCAACCACGTGGTTGCTGGGAATTGCACTCAGAACCTCTGGAAGAACAGTCAGTGCTCTTAACCTCTGAGCCATCTCTCCAGCCCCTGTACATGCTTTCTTAAAAGCACATTTGCTGTTGCGTTTATGCAGTGGCCTTTAAGTGACTTTCTCTCTTGTTTCACATGTATTTGTTGAGATTTCCCCCCTCTCCCCATATCTCTTAGTGAAACGTCCCCTCTTGGCCGTCACCATTCTAGTCCACCATGTTTTTATTCCCTTTCCCTGGTCCAGGTAGCTCCCTGGGAGCAGAGACCCCACCTTACTCCCCATCTCACCTTCCACACCACAATGCCAGGTGCTTAGGCTGCCTGTGGGCAGGAGTCTGTCACCATAGAGGCTCCTGCCACCACACAGTCGCCAGCAGCCTCCTGGTATGATCCAAGGTGAAGTTCTGTGGCATCAACCCCTCCTCCCGCCCTCCTTTGCCCCTCTTCCCTGACCAGCTAATGGGGCTCCAAGGCTATTAGATAATTTTAATATCAGCCTAAGAAAGATTAATTAGAAAAGCAAATTTTTTAAAGGTGCCATTAATCCCAGAGACAAACAAGAGAGACTGTGGATTATCTGTGTCACTGCAGCCTGCAGCCTACCGCGGCCTTCAGGTAGGGTGTAGACTCGTGCAGACTTGCTTTTGACGTGTAGGCCTGTGCAGAGCGCACTGGGTGTAGTCCCTTCTGAGCTGAGGGACAGGAAGAAGTAGAGCCTCTCTGAGAGAGCAGAAGAGAAGTCCGTGTGGGTGTCCTGTCCAGGATCGTCCTTTCCAGGCTGCTGTGTAGCCCCTCAGGTTGCTTCTAGACTTTTTCAGCCACACACCCTTCACTCATTATCATCCTGTTTAATCTACCTGGGACGTCAGAGCCACATCCCACTTAGAAACTTCTGAATGTGCCTAGGTAAAGGCCAAGCCCCTCAATGTAGCCCACAAGAACCCTACAGTTGGGCCCCACATGGTCTGGCTGGTTTTCCTTCTCACTCACGTTCTTCTGGCTGTCACTCAAGCTCCTTGTGACAAAGCACAGTTTCTGGAAGTCTCAGGCTGAATGACACTTTGAGGGCTTTCCTGTTGACACTTACCTTCTTTTCTTTTAATCATCTGTGTTCTTCTCTTCCTAACAGAGATGCTGAGCTCTTCAATGGTACTCTTGAATTTCATTTATTTATTTATTTTTTTTGTCTCCTTTCCCCTTCCTTGACTTAAGCCAAGCATCACACCAGCTCTACTCCCAGAGAGGATCGATACTTGTTGAGAGAAATTCGTCAGTTCTGGCTTTCAAAGGTGATGACAGTGGGCTTTCCTCATTGAAACCCAAGCTCCCCCAGCCTCCATGAAGGAGTGACGGACCTAGCTTGGAATACCTGAGGGCTTGGCTGCTGTAACCCCTTCGCCTGGCTGAGGCTCTGCGGCAGGTGGCTTCAGGGACAGAGCCGAGATGGTGAATGACTCAACCTGAGACTGACAGCTGCTGCTCTCTACCTCGGCTGATTTTCCCCTTTGCAAATGGGTATTGGCAATTGAAACTGCAAATCTACTAGCTGCTCCCCTACGTAAATTACATTTACATTTAAATTGTGTATTCTTCCCAAGGAGGAGGTTAGTAAATAACCTGCAGATTAGGCTTGAGGAGAGGAAATTGTGCCCCACATCAAATCTGAGACTGAAGTGACATCTGGCTTTTACTATTTCCATTATTTTGGTTTAATAACAGCATGTGGCATTAAGGGAAGAGAAAATTGGAGCTACGTTTTAACAAAAGGAGGAAACTCAGGATTTAGATTCCTTATCGTATTGAATACCTAGTCGATTGGCAATTAAACTCGCCTCAAAAATGGGTTAAAATGTCGTCACAGCTATGGAGAGAATGAAAACAAAACAAGCCAGTGCCCAGAATCACACGGCTAAGACTGACAGAAAGACTGGGCACATTGGTACCAACTGCTTCACGACTTCACTGGGCACATGGATTCTCAGACAGAGCAGTGCTGACAATGGCACCATGCATATGCATGAGGGGAGCTTCAAGAGGATGGTCTGTCTGAAGACAAGCACACAAAACTGGGAGCTCAAGCCAGAGATGGTG